CCCTAAGGGAGAGTAGGACGCAGCCAGGTAAGAAGGGAGGGGGACTCAGCAGGCTTCAGAAGCATGAAATACCAGGTTGTCTGCAGCTGGCTTTGCAGACTCTACTGGCACCTGCCATAAGGGGGTCCAAGGGGCCCTGGAGAACGATGGAAGGGGCATGTCTGAAAGGAGGGATGGCATGAGGTCAGAATTTAGGATCTACTCTTGGGTGGTGGATAATATAACTATGTGGTCAGGGATTTTTGTGCGCCCTGGTGGAGCAAGGGCTGGGGCAGGTCAAGGAATCTGTGAGGTACCAAAAATGCCCACCAGAGGGCGTGTGTTGTAGAATAAACTCTTGGTAACAACCAGTGGACCCTGACCCTCTACGGAGGTCAACCGTCCTGCAACCCCAGCCAAACTCACTTGGCAACTGGTTCAAGAGCAAAGGGCCAAGGTAGCCAGGACAGAGTTATGCACAGCTCCACACACCACTCAGCTCCAGCTGCAGCTGTGTGGCTTCTCTGCTAGCAATAGTGACCAACCCTGACCCCTGAACCATTCCCCATAGGAACCTGCTGGCTACCTGCTAGAAAGCCAATGACATCAGACCCCTTCCATCTAGGAAGGACAACAACTTGTCCTCCCCAGAATAGATGTGAAGCCGATATTTGCATCAGACTTGCCACTGCCAGCATCACCATCTGCAGGCTTTTGGAACAGTTCAGATTCTGACACAGGGTCCATACCATGGGCCCTCCAACCCGGAAGCCCCACAGAGTGCAAGCAGTGAGACAACAGTCTGGTCTGGATTCTCAGGCTGTTGACCTCCTACCTCCATCAGGCTCAGAGAAGAATAGCTGGGCCTGAGCTACACCCTGGATCAGGGAGGACACCCTGAGCTACACCCTGGACCACGGAGGCACCATGAGCTACACCATGGACCACAGAAGACACCAGGTGAGGACACCAATGAGGACGCTGAGGCACAGAGGTGAAGTCAGTGACAGAGCTGGCTTAATCAGACACTATTCTGCTGACAAAGGACACATTTTTCTTCCTGCTCCCCTGGGGCGTGAGAAGGTGGGAAAAGCCAAGCGGTGTTCTCGGCTTCCGGCTGGAGGAACTGTTACCATGCACTCTGGTAAACAAGTCCCTCCCAGGTACCCTCTTCGGCCAGCGTGGACCTGGCTGAAGGTGAAGCGTCTGAGGGTGCGACTCTCATACTCTGGCTCCACCATCCAGCTCCCGACCGTTCATGTGGGACTTTAGCCCTGAGCCTTCCTCTCCAGCCCCAAGTCCACTCTCATCCAGGACCCCGTGTCCACAAGGGTGGTCCATCTGCTGGGCCAGCCACCCCCCCACGACTTTCCCCCCAGCCCTCTTTGCCTGTACCCCCTGCAACACCCCGGGGTCCCTGAGCCCGGGCAGAGGTTCCTGGCATGGCTCTCCTAACTCCTGACAAGGCACCCGTGATGACTTATGACCAGCCCCCACTACCCCGGCCCCTCCCGCTTCCGCGTCACCCGGTCACCATCACTCCTGGTACGGCAGCCACACTCACTTTCTGACAGCTTCCGGAATCTGTCATGCTCTCCTTTTCCTGCATGCCTCTTTGTGTGCTGTGCCCTCTTTCTGGAGCACCGGACCCTGCCTTCACTTCTCTCCAGTCTGTCTTCTAAGAGTCAGCCCTGTGTGAATTAGGGGGCGCTCCCCTGAGTCCCCCCTCACCCAAGTCACCTCATCATAATTCTGGTGACACCACAGAGTTTCCTCAGCTTCCCCTCTCGGCATCTTGAAGGACACACCAGTCTGTGCAACCCCCCCCCAGCACCTGCAAAGGGCCCGGCACAGTTGCACCCCTGAAGGGAGAGAATGGGTATCCCTCTGGTAGTCAGGGCTCAGCGGGGTTGACCACAGAAGTGCTCAACACAAAAGCCCGAACTAAAGCACAGCAAGCGCTGACAGAACTTCCTTTGTTAAAAGACAGCAAACTGCTAGATTTCAAAAATAACTTAAGACGAAATTTCTTTTTTATTCCCGAGCAAGAAACCAGACATTGCCAGATCTATTTAGAGGGTTCACCAAAAGGCTGCTAACCCCCTGCCGGTGGTCCTGCCACCAGCATGAGACTGCAGTTAGGGATGCACACTAGGGATCCCTGACTCCTGGGGCTGCTGCCCAAGGTCAGGGGCTCTTCTGAGAGGGGAAAGGGCTCTCCTGGGTCCGGAGAGGAGGCTGGACTCCCAGGGCCTGGCCTCTACTCCAGCGGGTCCTCAATCCCTGAGATCTGCCCTTGGCCTGTCAGCCCCCATCCACGCCGCCTGCTTGTAGGGACTCATTTTAATTAATACCAGAACTGGGCCAACCACTGGGGCCGTGACACTTGTTTGCAGGTCATCTACTCCTAACAGGCTCACCCTGGGGGGGGATTTGTCACTAACTGAAGCAGAGATCAGTTAATGAGGCTGCAGGGCCTGGGCTTCCAGAGAACAAGGGAAAGGAAAATAAAATAAAGCCTCTTTCTTTGGAGGTTTTGTGATTTACACGCACAAAAGAAAAGCAAGCAAGCTGCAAATTTTCCAAGTCAGAAACTCCACTCCATCTGCCGGAGTTAGACCCTTACTGTGCGCAGACGTCAGGCAGAGGGACGCAGCCCCTGGCGGATGGAGCACAGAGGGGCCTCCTGAGGCCAGCAATCGATCAGCAACCTAATTAACAAGTATTTATGGAGCAATGCTCCCCACCCTCCTCCGTGGGGGAGAAGACACAGGGCCTGTCCCTGGTTAACTTGAAATCCAGTAGAACAATGAGTGGACAGGACATGGGGCGTAACTGAGTGAGTGCATGAGAAGGACAGAAGCTTCTAAGACTTGGGGCTGGCATGGTTGGGGAAACACGTCCTGGAAGGGCTCTGCAGCTAGGTGGGGAAGGGGAAGGAGGGTGTCCCCAGCAAGGCACACCCTCTGGGGGCCATGACAGCCCAGCGTGAGTCCCCGTCCCTGCGGGTAAGACTGTGGCTCTGAGAGCCCTGGAGGGCCCTCAGCCCCCAGTAACTCTAAAGCTTGGGTATCAGAACCCCCAACCCACAATCTGGGCTGGTTCTGGCCTTATGAAGCAGTTGGGATGGAATGACTGAGGACCTCAAGGGTGGGACGGTGAGGACTGCGGAAGCAGAGAGCCCGGAGCCCTGGGAGGAAGCCGTGTCCCCGCAGCCCCAGGCCTGCAGGAGGAGGATGTCCCAGCAGGACAGTCATCCCCTCCACTCAAGCCTGTCCGAGCCAAGGCCGCTCGGGATTCTCCCCGTGGGCCTTCCCCCTCCCAGCTCCTCTACACGGTCCCTTAAATCTCAAAGAAGGAACATGGGATTTTCAAGCTGCTAAACTAGGCAAAGTGATGGGCTCCTCTTGCCATAAGGAGCAGGAAGGAGGCGACAGAGCCTTTCTCCTCTCTCACAAGAGCCCCTGACGCTGGCCAGCAACCCACCAGAATCAGAGATCCCCAGTTTGTATGACCCTCAAATGAAGTCTCATGCTGGGCTGCAGGACCACCAGGGTGGGGTTAGCAGTCTCTTCTTTTTTTTTTTTTTTTTTTTTTTTTTTTTGTTGCGGTACACGGGCCTCTCACTGTTGTGGCCTCTCCCGTTGCGGAGCACAGGCTCCGGACGCGCAGGCTCAGCGGCTATGGCTCACGGGCCCAGCCACTCCGCAGCATGTGGGATCTTCCCGGACCGGGGCACGAACCCATGTCCCCTACATCGGCAGGCGGACTCCCAACCACTGTGCCACCAGGGAAGCCCAGCAGTCTCTTGATGAACGATCTAAATAGATTTGGTAATTCTGGCTTCATGCTTGGGGTAAGACATAAGGATTCAGGGAAGGAGAGTGATCTTGGGCATGAAGTGGGGACCCCCCCACCCACCTAACAGCTGTTTGGAGGTGAACCTGGTCCACATGGGAGCAGAGTAGACGAGGCCATCTCAGAACAGCCCCAAATCCCTGTCTTAGGAGAGCAATGAAATAAATGATGGTACACAGTAGGTACAATGGGTTAGTACACAGGCGTGAACAACTACAACATTTATTTGATGACATGGGAAAGATGAGAAAGTGGGTTTTACAAAAAGATTATTAGATGTGAATTTTTTATTATATGTGAATGTTTTTTTTAATTTGTATTTCCTAATTACTTTTCTTACCAATTACATGTATTTATTGTGTAATGAAGTTGTGAGGTGACTTTTGACCTCTGGAGTGGGCTATAGGAGACCACCCAGCCAGGATGGAGAGAGGACCAGATGGAGGTACAGGGTGGGATGAACATGCCAAGGTCTCGGGAGCTTGGGCTTCTATTCTGGCTCTGGCCCAGGCCCCTTGCTGTGTCACCTGGGATACATCCTTACACCCTCACACAGTCAGTCTATAAACCTCCCCTACTTAGTAGCTGCTATATTCTCAAAACCCTGTGGGATTCAAAATGAGCCTATTGCCCCTGTCTTGAGGAATTCACAGGACTCCAGGAAGGCTTAGACCTGTGACCACATGACTGAGGTCACCAAGAGGGGACCCAGGGAACTCAGGCAAAGGGCAAAGGGGAGCTGACATTTGGGCCAACTTTGGGGATGGATCAAAAGCCCCTCCACTCCTGCATCGGCTTCATGAAGACCAGCTCCTCTGAGGAGGGTGTCGGGTAAACACGGGCCCCTCTAGGGCAGACATCCTGCCCCCGGCTGGAGTGTACAGCCCTTCGTGTGGCCCACAGGCACTGCCTCACCTCCCCGCCTGCTCTCCCAAACCTGGAGCACTGGCCTGTGCTCCCCCTCTATGAAAGCGTCACCAGGGTCTACTCTTCTCCACTTAGGAAGACGGCCCTGATGGCCCCCACCCAGAAACCCTGTCTCCCATGCCCCTTGCCCAGCCCTGACCCTCAGATAAGGTCTGGCCTGAGATGCTGGGTGGGGCAGTCACAGAGCAGCAGGCTGGAGAGGACGCCCAGGGGGCGGGGAGTCTGGGGTCACTCACAGCGATGGAGACGGCACTGATGACAGCTCCCAGGTAGCCCTGGATGAACTTGGATGCAGGTGAAGGCTGGAAGACAGAGACAGAATTTCAGGTCCCCTGGGTGTCCCAAGCTCCCACCCTCCACCCTTGCAAATGGCCCCAACCAGCAAGAGGCAATCCTGCCCCCGAGCCTGGAGGGGCAGGCAAGGAGGAAGGCCTCTGGAAGCCAAAGGGATCCAGGCCTCCCTCAGCGCAGCTCCGCACATGGAAACACAGGGCAGCTATGTCTGGGGAGACGCCAAAGGGCCTTCTGCCCTGCTCTAGAAAGGCCCTTGGCAGACACTGCTGGCTGCGGGTAGAAAATAGCAAGGGCCAAAGTGGGCCGTTTATGGCTGGGGCAAGCAGATCCAGTTTAGGAAGGCTAAATGTTGCAAGTGGGCTGTTTGGCACCCAGAGCATTTTCTCGGGGGACATGGCAGTGTCAAGGTGGCCACAGCCTGGCTGGCTCTCACGGTCCTGGTCAGCCATGCAGGGCTTCCAGGCCAGTAGGAGACAGTTGCTAAATATTTCTATGGGAAAATGGATCCCAAGTTGCAACACAAAAAATTAAGGAAAAGCTGAGGAACTACGACAGCAATTCTGGAGATATTTGGTTTAAGGTGAATGGGAGCCATCTAAGCAGAGATGTCTGTGTGCGAAGCATATGAGCAAGGCATGGGTCGAAGGTTTAGATGGGAGGAGGGGGAAGGTCCTCAGAGTCTCAGGCCCTGAAGTTCCTCCCACCCAGGACAGCTCATAACTCCCCTATCACTCCCCACCAAAGTTATAAATGTCCAGACCCTCTCCTCCCCAAACTGACAGCCCCCCAAGGGGAACTAGATTCCTCTCCTCTGCTGCCTTTGGACGGAAATGTGGGAGAATGGACCAAGGGGAAAGGCAGCCTTGCCAGCGAAGCAGGCGCCCAGCCCCTTCCTAGACAAGAGAAGGGTGGCTGGACCTCCACTGTGAGCTCGTCCCAGGAGTGCAGGGGACTTTGGGGAGGACGTGCCAGTCCTCTCAGACCCCTCACCCTCAAGAGCAGCCCTTTAGCCTTGCAGCTGACAATCCTAGGGCACTGAGACAGCTTCCAGGCAAGCTTGGAGGAAGTTTAGAGGAAGTTAGTCCCCACGTGGCTGATGCTGTCCTGATCCAAGATCTGGGTATAAGCGCTGCCCAAGGGGAATTCTGAAGCCAGCGGAGCTCATCCCTTTGGCCGCGCGCGCCACACTCCCACGTTCTGGGCCTTCGTCACTTCACGTGAGCAGCCCCTCCCCAGCAGGGCCCCTCCTGAAGGCCTGGCAGTAAAACCCAGAGGAGAAGCCCTGATGGTGGCATGCCACACTGTAGGGAGGGAGAGGGTCACCCCAGCCTGAAGCCTGACACCAGGTGATGGTCTGCGGTACTCACCTTCGTAGCGTTCCGGTTTGCATAGTTGACACAAGCATTGTGGCTCTGGTTCAGCCACTGAAAGGCAATGCGGGGAGAGGAGAAGTCAGGAAAGGTGTGGCCACCTCCCTGGAAGCAGGCCTGGACCTGGGAGGCCACACCCCTCCAGAAAGACACGGGTGTCTAGTTCACGGTAGTTCCATCCATCCCCTGAGTTAGCATGAGCAACCATCCTGGTTCGCCAGGACAGCGCAGTTTTAGCACTGAAAGGCCCCGGTCCTGGGAAACCCCTCAGTTCCTGGCAAACCAAGACACTGGTCCCACCCAGGCCAGCTATCCATCTCAGTTCAGAGATGGCCACCTCTCCCAAAATTCTGGTGTTCACTGCCCCACATGGGCCCCACTGCCTTTGCCACATCACCCTTTTTATACTAATGACTGGACAGAAGGTGGACACTTAAGCCCCTGGAATGCCCGACAGCTCTGAGCCTCAGTGCCCTACACCACCTGCAGAGCCCAGACACAGACATTATTAGGAGCTTTTCTTTTTTCAGGAAGACTCTGACATTTTCTCCTGAAGACAGACAGGTTTTTCTTCCTGCCCCTCTCTCTCTACACACATACATACTGAGCTTCTACTGTTTTCAGAGAGCCACGCCCCAGACTGTCTCCAAGGGCAGAGACCAGGGTCTGTGATGCTTTTTCACCCACCTCACTACCTTGGAGTTGGGGGTGGATTACCTTCCCCACAGATTTGGGTAAGGCTGATGTCAAAATGAGGCTGTAGGGCTCAAGGTCACTGGCCACGGGACAAGCATCCAGGTGAGGGCACCCGCCAGCCCTCATCACCTCTGTGCAAAAGTCAGAGCACCTATAATGGCCCAAGACTTGGGCTGCGGGCCCGAAGTCCTGGGGCTTCTCCCAGTGGCTTCTGGGTTAGGGAGGAGTAGGAAGTGGGGTGACTTTCCCCGAGGGGCCTGGATGGAGAGGAGACACTGGGACAGGCTGTTCCAACCAGCACTTGTTGGGTGCCCCCTTCAGGAGCCCTCTGCTTGCAGGGAAACTGTTACCTGCCAGAAGACAGTGGATGCCAATGTCTGATTGGGCAAGAGAAGACCAACCACCTATGAGAGAGAGAGAAAAGGCTGAAGAAGGCAAAACAAACGCCCTATGCTTTTGTAAAGAAAAATGACACAGCCACGAACAAAAGTGAGCTGGATCTGTACAAACTGATGTGTATGATAAGTATATTCAAACTACTGCCCACAGTGAGATGATGTACGATGAAAAAACTTGGTTGCAGAATTATATGACAACATAATCCCATTTTTATAAAGAAAAAAAAAAATCTCACCAGATATACCCACATACACAAATACACATACATATACATATCTCCAGGCATGAAAAAATCTGTAGCACAGCAGGTAGACGTCCCTGGAGGTCAGGTTACATGGTACTTTCTCACATTCTTCTTGAATATTTCTGTGTTCTTTTTAACAGCGGACATGCATATTTTTGTAATTGGTGGGCAGGGGAACAATAAAAACAAACCAGCAAACAAAAGGAACGCCTTACTTCCACCCAGCTAACCTGGCTCCTTCACACCCTAGCCATCCAATAGGATTTTTTTTTTTGCGGGGGGTGGTTCGTGGGGCTCTCACTGTTGTGGCCTCTTCCGTTGTGGAGCACAGGCTCCGGATGCGCAGGCTCAGCGGCCATGGCTCACAGGCCCAGCCGCTCCGCGGCACATGGAATCTTCCCGGACCAGGGCACGAACCCGTGTCCCCTGCATTGGCAGGCGGACTCTCAACCACTGCGCCACCAGGGAAGCCCTCCAATAGGATTTTTGTGAGGATTCAATAAGAATCATTTCAAAGGCCTTAAGTGCTTTACAAAGACAAGTAGGGAAATTTATATATTATCTCTGGGCCCCCATGAAGCAACACCTACACTATGTTTAAGCTATTGAATAAAACATAGATATCTAATAAGTATTTGTTGAATGTGCGAATGAATGAACAAATACACACATACGACCAAGTCTGGTTACATAAGTGTGGATCCATTAGTCCCAAAGCCCAAATATCACCTAAGACCTAGACTCAGTGACTTTGTTTTTTTTGGTTTAAGTCAAGATTAATTGCCTGATCTTGACACTGACCAAATCTTAGACTTTGGGGATCCATGTGTGTCTCTCAAATTTACCTTTTGAGTGCTTGTGTGCAAAATAACATCTACCAAGTGCTGCTGTATATGGAAAAAATGTGCACAGCCAACCACATATTGACTTATTTATTATTCTTGTAGATAAAATGGCTCTTTGGCAAGAATTTCTGTAAGGAATGTGTAAACATTCAATTCTATGCAGTAAATCAAATTCTAGACATCCTTAGCAGCATTAGTAAATCATGTTTTAAACATTAAAATGTTTTAAAACAGCAAACACGCACACAGTTATATTTATTGGCCCATATCAGTTTGAATAAAATTACATAATGTAAATTAATTCCGTAGTCCAATGAAGAATTACCTTATGATATTTTTCTCCCCAAAATAAGATCCCAACTTGATTTTTCTTTGCAATGACAGCTTAGAGTGCTGGAGTGAGAGTCAGGAGGCCTTGGGTCTTAGCCTAGGCTCCATCCCTGTGTGATCTCCAGCAGAAGACATGCCCCTTTGGGGTTCTAGCTTTCTCCCCTATAGAGCGAACAGGTTGACCTTGGAGGTCCTGTCTCAGTTTAAATTCTATTCTCAGGTTCCAGGTAGTAGGTGTGAAGTCAATACAGATGGTCCCATCGTCTTTAAAGGGAATTTTCCCACCAGTCCTGCCAAGAAGTAACCCCAGGGGACCCAGGGCCTCATCCTAGCGCCCCAGTCAGGAGCCAGACCATAGAGAGGAAGCTGAGCCTAGAGAGGCCTAAAGCTGGGAACAGACAGCATGAGCCCGCGAGTGTGTGTGTGTGAATTTGTGTTTGTGCATTCGTATGCATGTGGATGTATGTATAAACATGCGCATGTCTGACTGCCTCACAAAGCCTGAGGATATAAAAGCTGTTTTCCACTGTTGGGAACTCAGCACATCGTTCCCCCTAATCCGTTGGTTTACATAAAACTGGTGTGTTATGAACTACATTGTATTCTCCCCCTCAATCCCCTTTGCACCCCCTGAACTGTGCTTGGCTCACCAGGACCGTCATAAGATGTGGCCCACGGGACTCGTATTTACCCTTCAGCTGTTGTCCAGGACACTCACTGCTCATTACGTTGGACCCCATTATGAATCCACGTGGAGGAAATTTTTCTGATCTCAGGATCAGAAATTTATACTTCTGAACATCTGGTTTGCATCTGTCTTGCAAACACTGGGCATTCAACTGTGTCCCTCTTTGCACTGACTGTCAAGATGCCCAGGCCAGGTCATCTTACTTGTTTTTTCTTGTGGCATGCATTTTTTTATGTGATATCAAGTTTTTTTCAGAACAAACCATAGCCCTAAACTAAACCAAACTAATACCCAGGCTATGCAATACACACACACACAAAGTGTAACCAGTGAGTTTTTCACCATACTGGCCAACCTGACCAGCCTCCTGTCCCTAACTTCTGCCCAAACACGGGCCTGATGTCCATGCTGGGCACCTCTGACTCTGCATGCTTTCTTAAAGAGATGAATTGATTGATTGATTTTGCTAAGCACTTCTCCTTATGTCATTTGCCATGATCCTTGTTATAACTCCAGGGCTGATTCACTTTGCTATAAAGCAGAAACTAACACACCATTGTAAAGCAATTATACTCCAATAAAGATGTTAAAAAAAAAAAGAAATGATAATGCCCTAAAAGAAATAAAAAATAACTCTGGAGCTCAGACAAAATAGAGATTACTTTCTATATTTTGCAAATGGGGCAACAGAGACTTAGAGAAATTCAGTGATCTGCCCAAGGCTTTAAAGCAAGCTAGAGAAAGAGTCAGGTCTCCTGATTCCTGGCTTGGGGGCCCCAACTCTCTGATTTTAGGGGCTCCTTCTCCAGATCACCCGCCTGAATACAAAAGAAAAGTCACATTCTATGCCCCTTTTTGAGCATCTTCTATGCACTGAGTCCCATACCGCTCCCAGTGGAGATTACCAGAAGAGAGGAATATATAGCATCTAACCACAATAAACACAAGGACCAAACAGGAAAATATATGAGAATGTCCTTTATAACTCCTGGGCATGAAAATGACAAGATGGTTTAAACAGGTATCTGGATGTGTGTCAAACTGATAAATTCTAACATCCAAGCAAGAGTTCAGGAAGGGAGAGGTCTGGCTACCTGCCAAAGGGGGTGACAGGATGGAGCTGAGGTGTGCAAGTGTGTGTTCATGCGAGTAGGAACAGCTGAGAGGCTGGCTTCATTGAAGGAGGATGTTCAGGAAATCAGCAGACGGGAGTCCGGGGAGGGTGAGGCGAGAAGGCAGCGGACCACCATGCCACATTGGCCAAACGGGGTCCCAGGGAGCCATCTGAGGCTGAGGCAAGAGGAACAGGGATCCTGCCTTCCAGGTCCTACAGTCAGGCTGGTGGGGCCACGAGCACGCAGGTGCCAGCCCCATTCCCTATTAGGCAACACGCAGCACCATCTGCACAATCCCAGGAGCAAGAGCAGATATTTTATAATTTCCTTTTTTCTTTTTAAGTCTAAATTAAAAATAAATGTTCCTTCAGTTCTCAGATGTATATCTCTGGTGCAACCTGCCCACATTCCCTCATGCTGCCCTTTCCAGAACATGGCAGGGGAAAGGAGGAAAGAGATGAATAGAGAGAGGGAGCCAGTCCGCCGGCTTCAATGCCAGTGGATTGCACCTCTTCCAAGGAGACACTTCAGGCGTGGCCGCGTGGCGGGTGGAGAGAGCCCAGAAAGCGGCTGGGACCAGGGAACGTAGAAGGAGAGCCAACAGCCAGAATTCCCAGCCCAGCCTGCACCCTATCTTGCTGCAGGACCTCGGCCAAATCGCACATCCTATCTTTGCTCCCATTTATAGTTCATAACACGACTGGGGTCCCCTCCACAGCTCCCACCCCCGGCAGCTGTCCTCTCCGCACATCTGTCTGCCTTTGATTCCCCTTCCCCTTGGGTGGCCGGCCATGGGCCCTGATGATCAACGCTCAGGCTCTGGTGGTGGGAGGAGCTGAACTCAAGTCCTGGTTCTAGTTATTTACCAGCTGTGTGACCACACACAAGTTACTTGAGTTCTTTGTGCCTCTGTTTCTTCATCTGTTAAATGGGGACAATCCTGGTACCTCTCTGGATGATCAAGAGAGGAAGTAAGGCGTGGAAAGAATTTGGCACAGTGTCTGGCACGCAGCACGTGCTCACTAGGTGTTAAATGTTAGTATCGTTCCTTTCCTTCTACCTCATTCTTTTCTAGCCTTTGCTGGCCTCTCATTTCTCTGAACTCCACAGTCTACATTCACAATTGAGCATCATTTAGCCCCAATCTTGTCTTTGAACACAAGGCTTATCCCATAAAGGATAGTAAGTTCCTGATGGTAGAATTAGGGCTTTTCTCTCTGATGTCCCCCAAAGCACTCAGCACAAAGCTGGGCCCACACCACACACTGGAAGAACATTGCTAATTCATTATTAAGAACATTAATTCATTCTCGGCTAGGGAAAAGATCCATGATGGATTGTGACAATGACCACCATCACCCATCTCTTCCTTAGTCCTTTTATTAAAGTCTGATTGCATGAGGCTATTGGCCTTTGGAGAGGGGGGCAGATTGAGTTTTGGTCCCAATTCTTCACTCCTCCCTGCACCCATATCCATGCCAGGGGAGGAATTTGTTTCCATGCTCTTGGTGTTGCTTGGCCATATAACTTGCTTTGGCCAATGGCATGTGGGAGGAAGTGGCAGTGTGCCAGTTCTAAGACCAGGCCTCAGAGGCCTCATATGTTTCTGCTGGCCCTCTGTGCTCCTAACATTGCCAAGAGGAGACATGCCCTGACTAGTGCCCTAATCCGAGGATAAGATGTGAGGAGCAGAGTCCAGCCTGGGTGAGCTGACTCCCAGTTGACCCCAGACCTGCGGTGAGAAGCAAAACTGCCTCGGTCAAGCCCAGTCTAGATCAGCCAA